CCGACTGCATGCAGAAGACTTGGCTGCTGTGCTTTGGAGAAAGTGCCTCAAGTCTTTCTTGTTTTTGACAAACGGGCTCCGGAGTGGCTGGGTCTCATCCTAACATTTGGTTTGCATTACACGTACATTGCACAAATCTGTGTGCCTGAGGGAACTGCAGTCTTTTTTTAGGGTGGCTTCACTGACAAGGCAGAAAGAGTGAGGAGAGGAATCCCTATTTGGACTCAAACGTGGCCAACTTGCTGACACGGCAGATAAGACCTGGGGCTGACCTGGTGATCTAGGCATCTTAGAGTTCATGAATCAAGGAAGGAAACTCTGTGGACAGCCTAACAGGGAGAGCGGAAGTCGGACTCTCAGAGAAAACATAAGGAAAATACGATGACGAGAAGTTCTAAAGGGGATCATGGTTAATAGAAGGTGAAAGTTTTCAGAATAATGTAAATATAATTCTAAATAATGTAATCCCAAAGAGTCTCAATGATGACTTAAGTGGGGCTGGGACAAGTAATTTGTGTGTGTGTCTTCAGTTGTCATTTAGCACATTAAATTCTTAATGTATACCTGGTACCATGCTAAACTCTTTACAAACATTTCCCTATTCAATCCCTAAGACAACTATATTTAGTAGGTACTCTTATTCCACCCATTTTGCAGATGAGAATACCGAAGTTCACAAGGTTTGGTCAATTGACCAAGATCATGCAATTGATAGATTTCCCAAATCTGGATTTGAATCTAGACAGTCTGACCCCAGGGCTCATGCTCTTACCATTACCTACATGAAAGAGAGGCATAGTCCTGAAAGAACGATGCCAGGATGCATAAGGCCTTCTAGATAAAGCTAGAAGTTATGAAAATACTAAACAAGTTATATCCAAAAACAGTGCTAACATGGCAAGGAGAGGCCTACTTTTTGGAGGCAAATGATATGGTCGAGAATAGCAAATAGGTTTCAACATGCGTAACAATTCCAGGTGATGGGGCAAGCCTACCTGAAGCGCCGTGTTACAGAAATGTCCAAGACGGTGTCCAGTGTCCAGGCTGAACTGGAAAGTGTTGAAGCTGATTACCAATATCTGCGATGGATGCAGGAGACTGGAAGGAGGGGAGATGTGCTGTGTGTGTGCCATTCGTAACAGAAGTCCACAGGTGGCAGACAGAGGGAGCGGGATTTCCACAAGGAGACAGGCAAAGGGTAAGATAGATACGTGGCCGGCAACAGAGAGGTCTAACCATGATGAAAGGTGCCTGCCTAGAAGGCAGGCTGCACGTGGCATTGGGAAGGTATGCACACTGCTGGCGGTCCCACCGTGCTCTTCAGCAGTCACCAGGTCAGGTATCCAAGGGTAACTAGTAAAGGCAAGACTCCTCTTCCAGAACAGGATTCTGGAAAGAAATCAGGCAGGGACTCTGAGACTTGTTATGTAATCTCAAAAGAGGCAAGAGCCAAAGGCCTGGTCCCTAGAGTTCAGATCAGAGAGAGATCAACAACAAGGCTGAGGAACGCTGCCGAGTGATGGATCTCAGGTGTGCAGATGTCTCTCCAAGCAGGGTCTGCAATGGTTCTAGAATACAGGGAGGGGCCGAGCCAGCAACTAGGAATTAAGTGGCTGTGGTTGGTTGGGGAGCTTGAGAGAGAACAAGGCAGGAAGCAGTATGTCCTCACACCCACCCTAGGAGTAGAGAATGAAGGAGAAAGAACTGGTTTGGCAATCAGTCAAGGGAAAAAGGCTGGGAGTCTTTTAATTGACCACTAACTTAAAATGAAACAACAGTTGGCCGGGCTTCTACAAAAGCAAATACGGTCTGCACCAGCACCAGTGTGGCGTCCAGATCAAGGGGAAAGAATACGTATTTTGCATTTGTAAAACCGCCTCTGGGGAATAGTGCCCAGGATTGGACAGCCCACATTAAGGGAGCTGGGGCTAACTGCAGAGGATGGTGTGAGCTTAGATAAGATGCAGTTGTAGTGACTGAAGCTGGGTTTTGTTTTTGTTTTCCGGGGAACATGTTAGCTTCCTCTAGCCAAGGGGCTGACCTTTGGAGCAAGGATTTGACTTAAACATAATAACTCTTGAGGGAAGAATTAGAACCAGTGGGTGACAGTTACAGGGAGACTAACTTGTATGCAATAAACGAGATATCTCTAACAATGAAGACAGCTTTCACCTAGATTATTTCCCCACGAGCTACTCTCCAGCTGAATGCTACATAGCCATGGGTAAGCCTGGGGATCTCAGAGTCAGGCAAAGTAAGCAGGTTTCTTCATGGCTGGACTCCTCAGATCCTTTAATGTGTTAGCATGCTTTAAATTTTTCCAAGAAGATGTCCCAAATTTAACTGACCACAGAACCAAACTCTTCTTTTTTCTTAATTTAGTTTTCATGACTCATGAAACACGTTTGAGAATGCTAGACTGAAGTCATCCAATTCAGCAAGGAAATGGGTCGCTCTGTGAAGAAAATGAGAAACTTGTCCCAATTTGAGCAGGTGTCCTTCAAACTCTACCTGAGAAAAAGGTCGTAGAGGAAATTGCTTCATAGAGAAGTTTGGATTAGATGATTCTTGATTCCATTGCCTACTTTAATGACATTTGTCCCACAAACAAACATTTCCAAAGGAGGGTGTGTTAACTTCAACCTTAACAGACCCCTAAAACAATCTAAAGGTCACCGTGTGAGAATATTCAGCTAGTAATACCTTTTGGGATTGGATAGGTCCAGCAAGAATGTGTTTTTGGTAATGTGGGTTTGCAATATTTAGAGGACTAATGCTGCCCCCAACAAAATGGCTTACCAAACTTGTAGAACCTTCCAGGAGTCCTCCATGGTCATTCAAGTTGATTTCTGGAAGTGCTTTTATGCTTCTAGTTCTTCATATCTTGCAGAGTTGCTTTTGTCTAAGATATATCCATGACTAACCTTTACAATGACTGAATTCTGTCTGTTATGGGCTGAAAGTTTGTGTACACCCTCAGGAAAAAAAAAAAAAACATGTTTTGAAATCTAATCCCCACTGTGATGATATTTGGACAAGGGGGGCTTTGAGAGGCAATGAGAGCATGAGGGTGAAGCCCTCCTGGATGGGATTAGTGTGCCGTTATCAGAGGTCAGAGGCTATGGAACGCTTCCTTCACCATGTGAGGATACAGCAAGGCGTCAGCAGTCTACAGCCTGGAGGAAAAAACCATGCTGGCCCTGACCTTGGACTTGGACTTCCAGCCTCCACTATAAGAAATAAAGGCTTGTTATTTAAGCCAGCTATTCTCTGGTAATTAGTTATAACAGCCCAAACTGACAAAGACGCCATTTTAAATGTTTTTAGAAAGGGGAATTGGGATATAAATTTTAAAATAATCTTAAGAGCTGTATGTCTACTATAAGCATAATGTACAGTGGCATAACTAGAAAAAAAAAAGGTGGGGGGACCCAGTGTAAAATCTGATACACCTGAGTTGAACAAAAAAGACCCCACCCTTTTGCTTTCAAGCAAAGGCCAAGGGTTTAGTTACACAAGGTTAGGTTCTGATTAAGGGATGGTCTAGCAAGGAGCATTTTTCTTCTTTGAAACAGCTAAACTGATTAGAAAGAAAAGACAGATGTCTCAGTAGGACAGCAATATAATTTTTGTATTACTAGGTACCACTCTAGGGACTTCCCTAAGCATCCTAGGTACTCATGGAATTGAGACTCATCCTCTTGTCAGCAGCTGGCCCAGCAAGGGTGACCCCACTGACTTTCCCTGTCGGAGGAGGTGCTCCTCCCTGCACTCGCTCACCTAGCCTCGGCTCCCCTAGAAACAACAAAGCTGCCTGTCAGATCCGGCATATTGTACTCGCTCCCGTGCATGCCAGCTACAGGGAAAAGGAGAAAGAACAACTCCTTAGCCAGCTCTGAGGCCTCTTGTGATCTGATCCCTGCCCACCCTTTGACCTCACCGCCCACTCCTCGCCCGTCATTCACAATCCTCCCACCACCCGCAACTTCCTGCCATCTTTGTTGAACCCACCAAGCCAGTTCCTGTTTTCAGGCTTTTGCGTTTGCCATTCCTGCTGCCTGAAATTCTCTTCCACAACCCTTTGTACTTGTCTTATTCTCACTTCCCTTAATCCTCTGCTTAAATGTCATCTCCTCAAAGCATTCCTCTCATTACCCCAAAATAACCACCAAATCTTCACTCAAGATCCCTGTATCTGACTTTACGTTTTAGTCAGTAGAGTTTTTCATCACCTGATCTTAAATTATACATCCATTTGTTGTCTTGTTTACTTCAGGCAGGCCTAAAGCATAGGTGAGATGCCCAGGAAACAGGCTTTGACAAACCGGACTTCAATCCACCTAGCGCTGCAGCAAGTGCACGAAAATGCCCAAGGTGGCTCCCTGTCACTGCTCCCGGTGGACAGGCATGCATCAGTTCCAGCCTCCAGCACCGCTGGGAGGATCCTGCAGAATAGAAAACCCTCCTGAGAGTGGCGAAAGGACCAACTCCTAGCACCTTCCAGTCTGTTCCGAATTATGAGAATCATCAGCTGCTGAGGCCCCCCAGGACCAGAAACCCAGGAAAACTGCCACCTTGACTTGAGTCCCACCATATTCTGTCTCTGCAGAGCTGTCAGCTGGGTGGAGTCAGTTGCAACCTTTATGTGAAAGAGAGAAAACAGATTATTTGCTGGTAGCTTTTGGTATCATCATATCAACCACTACAGATCATATCACTGTCCCATTGCCACAGCTGAACAAAACAGAGGTGTCTGTCTTGTTCACCATTATATTTTCAGTGCATGAATAGTGCCTGACACATAGTAGGTACTCAATAAATGTTTTTTATGTCCAAATAAAATAATGGAAGATCCTTTACAAGTGAGAGGACAGAAAATTATAGAGTGAATAGGGAGAAACGGGGAATAGAGGGCAGCCTTCCCCTTCAGAGGGAAACAACTCCAGAGGTGCTCCAAACCTTGTGAAAATAGCTTATGACTCTCACCAACACTCTCTTACCCAGACGTGACTCACAGGCTTGTAGGGGCCAATGCGCTCCTTAGGGAATTGCCTCCAATGCCTCAGCTGGAATACTTCACTGATGATGAGCTCCAACATTTCTGAAATTAGAAGACATCATCCTCATTGCTCAGGATGATTGTAAACTTCTTTTACCAGACTTGCTCCCAATCTCCCTCTAACCCAGGCCACCAAAACTTGCTGTCAGGCTATGACTTTGAACTTGCCCCCCTGGCTCTAAGTTCTGACTTCCATCCTCCACGAAGGCTCCCACCTATTTCCTGGTCTAGCTCTGCTCCTCAGGCTTGCTTCCAGTGCCTCCTCTTCCTTCCTTTGTTCTCCCTAAGGGAACCTGGAAATGCGCCCCCTTAGAGCTTCCACACCACTCCAGGAAACAAGACAAATTCAAATGCTCATCTCAAGATCCTGTGTGAAAAATGAGGAGTGCCTCCCATGGAAGTAGCTGATGACACTGGAACAAGCTCATCAGGGACAAATGATCTGGTTAAAAATGAATACGGGGGAAAAAAAAAGGTTGAGGTAAGGAAGTTAACTCCAAAAACTGTAAGATACGCACTTCAATCAATATTGAAAGCAGGAAAGACTTCTATTTGCTACAATTTCTCTTGTGTTTTTTTAAGACCCCATTTAAAACCACACTCCATTAAAAAGGGTTTGTGTAGGTGGATTACTGTGGGAAACACACGCACGCACACACACACACACACACACACACACAGTGCATTTCACTATACCATTAAGAAAGTATCACGAAGCAAACGGAATGGTCAATCTGACCTTACATTAAAAGGTCAGCATAAGGGAGTTTTCTAAACCAAAGTGAATGTTACAATAGAGATTGAGGAGATTTTAAAAAAAAATGTCACAGAGCCAACAACTGCACTTAATAGGAACTGGAAGCTTTCCCATCACAGTTCCACCCAGGAGTCTCTCAGAGCCAGAGAGCACTGGATGGAGGTCTGTCCTGTTCAGGGCCTGAGATGTGCTTGAGTCTGGAGGGACATACAGGTCACGTGGTTCGAATCGGCCCCATGATGGTCCAGAATCACTGGGATAGTCTCACCTGTATCTGTCACTCATCACACACACACACACACACACACACACACACACACACACTGCAGCAAGCAAATGATACGTTCACAGGAGGAATTAGTATTGAAATCTCAGGAGGGGAGATAGCATCTGGTTTTCAAAGCATATTCAATGTACTTCTGGTTTACTAATACAAATTGCTGAGAGCGAACTCCAAAGAAATCTCTGTATAGATACGCATTAGCAGACAACACAGTGAGTGAAAAGGCTTTGCTTGGAGATGACTTTTAAAAAGTCATTGAGAACCACTGCTTGAGTTTGCACCTATCCTTGGTGAGGTCCCTAGAGACAGAGCAAGGGAGAGGATGCTGGCAGGGCCCTCCGTCTGCCCACAGCACATACGCCTCAGTATTTGGACGGGGGAAGAAAGAAATCTGACCTCCAAGCAATTGAATCCACAGGAAAATCTGCTTGCATTAACCAGCTGGGTGCTGGAAAGATTTACCTCTGCCTCATAAAAATTATTTCACTAACAGATGTCTGATCTCCACCTGAAAGGATTACTGAGCAAATAGCAGATTTGCCTCAAACAGCAGCTTAGTGAGTCATCACGAATGTCAGGCATTGCATTAGCTGAAAACATTTAGGAAACAGAGGGCCGGTGGCTATGATCTCCCATTAGGTGGTATCTTGATGAGGAGACAACACACTGGAACCTATGTGATTAGAATTTTAATACATTCAGATTTTCTGCAAGGATTGTAGAATGTCAGCTCAAAGCTTGTTAGCTGAAAATCAGTGCATTGACTCCAGAGTTGAAATACTTCTCTCACCTAAGAAATAAGAAGATTTAATATCCCAACTGTCTTTACTTAGCAGCAATATAAAGTTTTGGTTTTTTTTTTTAAGCTAAGCTCTCAAGGTTGAAAGTGACTTCAGAAGTGATTTGGTCTAAGCAATTAAGAGGTCAACTTCTATAGCACCCGAAGAAACTGAACTTGAGTAAAAGGATGAAGTGCTATCCTATATAAATACTGATTTTAAAAAAAGACTTATTGAATATATTCCAAACCCTCCACAAGTAAAAATGTGTCTATGTGAAAATGTTCACACATACACACATGTTCACAGACTTCACACACATGCTAGAACTGTTGTAACTCTCCATCTATGACAACCTTGCTGCTCATTAGAAGTATCTAGGGAACTTTCAAAAATCCTGACACTTAGTCCGCACTCCAGACCAATTAAGTTAAAAGCGCTAGCAGTGGGACTCAGGTGTCAGTACTTTTTTAAGTTCCCCAGGTGATTCCAATGTGCAGCTGAAGTTTAGACCTGCTACTCCAGAGAGAGTGTATTCATTTGTCCATTCATTCATTCAACAAGTATTTATTGAACTTTCAGTATATGCCAGGAACCACGCTAGATGCTGGAGACAAAATGGTGACTGAAAAACATTATGGTCTTGGATCTCATGGATTTTTCCTTCTAATGAGGGAAGATTAATTCACTACATAGTGAATATGTTATTTAAAACATATTAAGTGTTGTTCTAGAGGAAAGATTGTGGTTCTAAGAGAAAATATAACAAAGTATCTGATCTAGATTTGCAGTCTGGGAAAGTCTTTCCTGAGAAAGTGCCTTTACAACATGATCTTATGATTGAGTGGAGCTAACTGGCAGAGAAGGGAAGAGCTCTTCTGCTCTAAGAGGAACAGCATGTGCAAAGATTGTCTGGCAGAAGGAGGCTAACACATTCAAGGAAATGGGGGAAAATACTATGGAAGGCACTCAAAAAGCAATTAGCAAGAGTGGTCTGGAACGACACTGCACGAGTTGGCAGAGACCAAATGATCGTGGTCTTTAGGCACCATGTTAGTCAGGGTTTAAGCAGGATGATAGAAACCACTCTGACATTTAAAACAGAAAAAAAAAAAAAAAAAAAAAAAGGTGATCAAATAGTTTACTATGATCCTTTTCTCCATTCTCATCTTCAATGCTTTTCCACATCAGAGAACATTCTTTTCCCAAACTTTGAAAATTGATTTTACAGCAGGTCAACATTTTAATATATTTTCAATGGCCAGCACCAATGATAGCTGTTTTGTAGGCACGTATCTAAGGATATCTCCTTCCATGTCTATAAAGTCAAAATTCTTACTAAGTCCTTTTGCGCATTTTGAGGAAACTGCAACTTAATTGGCCAGGCATGGCGGCTCATGCCTGTAATACAAGCACTTTGGGACCAGCCTGGGCAACCTAGTGAGACCTTATCCCTATAAAAAATAAAAATAAAATTAGCTGGGTGTGGCTGTAGTGGTACATGCCCATGGTCCCAGCTACTCAGGAGGCTGAGGCAGGGGGATTACTTGAGCCCAAAAGGTCAAGGCTTCAGTGAGCCTTGATGGCACCATTGCACTTCAGCCTAGGCCGTAGAACAAGACTTTGTCTCAAGAAAAAAGACTTCGTAACCAAAGACTGTATCTTGAGCAATATCTGGCAAAATCATTCTGTAACTAAGTATAAAAATGAAGATGTATGATAATACAGAAGAGGGGTCTTCTGCATTTCTTGCTTGCATACCCAAGAATTTTGAAAACTATGGACCCCCTCAAAGATTTTAACATTGACATATAAAAATCATATATACATCTTCTGGTATATTTAAATATGACATTTCAACATAGAACTGTTACATTATCCAATAAAATGTAATATCATAACCATTTGATACCCATCATCATTCACACTTTAAAAACCTAAGCTTTTTTTTTTTTTAACATTTGGAAATTTAACATCTTTCGTTGATCTATTTAAATTCATGTTTCTATTCTGCTTCCCCACCAAAAAATTAAAAAAAAAAATCTGTCCTAATATGTTTTATGGTCAAAAGTCTTTTGTTTAACTTCTTTTATCACCTCATGATAGCTACAATTTTTTTAAGTGTATTAATTAAAATTTAGAAATTTAAATTTTTGATTTCTTGTGACCTAAAGTGTTCAATGTTTTAAAGAATATTAGATTGCATTGTGGCCGGGCGCGGTGGCTCATGCCTGTAATCCCAGCACTTTGGGAGGCCGAGGCGGGTGGATCACGAGGTCAAGAGATAGAGACCATCCTGGTCAACATGGTGAAACCCCATCTCTACTAAAAATAAAAAAATTAGCTGGGCATAGTGGCTCACGCCTGTAGTCCCAGCTACTCAGGAGGCTGAGGCAGGAGAATTGCTTGAACCCAGGAGGCAGAGGTTGTGGTGAGCCGAGATCGTGCTATTGCACTCTAGCCTGGGTAACAAGAGCGAAACTCTGTCTCAAAAAAAAAAAAAAAAAAAAAAAAAAAAAAAAAAAAAAAAAAAAATTGCATTGTAACTACGATGATCACAACCAAATAAATATTTTTATAAATAATGATTATAGTAATATATAAAATTACATTGGGAATATCTGTCCTAGCAATATGAGTCATGATCAGTTTTGATATTTTCTTGTGTATAGATTTGGACACTAGTACATAGCTTTATTGTTCGCTAACGAGTTTTAAATAATTCTAAAATTTTATAGGATAAAATAAGGATTGGTTGTGACTATAATAAATATTTCATAATGTGACTTTATAGTATAGGTTTTAACAAATCTGAAAAAAAATCACATAAAAATTTCATCTGTGTTTTTTCTAATGTATCTTGAAAAACCTTCTTGTTACAATGAAAAGAATTAGTGTCACTGAAACAGGAAAAGTTCCCTTGAGCCCCTCACAGTTGAGGGTATGGCTCATTTCTTCAGCGCCCAGCTGCTCAAAACCCCTAGGGGCACTTGCAGGTGGTGGGGAGTGTGGGCTCTAACCCCACGGCAGGGTCTAGGGGCTAATGTTTACAGTTCCTGAAGCCCCAGCAGGCGAGTTTGCCTCGTGCCCTTTTAGTTTTTGCTGTCTGTCGGCAGCTTGTGTTAATCAGCTCAATTAGACCCTCTGCCTTATCTCAACGAGGGGCTTTCTGTAGCCCGGGTTCTTGCTTTAGTTACCAGAAAAATCAGATCACATGTGGACT